CCTCAACCAATCAGGAGTGAGTGACAGCTGTCAATCATGTCGTCTCATCCTGTTTCCCAATGTTTGTTCGGTTCATGTCCCATCTGCTGACATGGAGGAGGGGTTTATGACCTTTACTGCAGCCAGCCACCAGGGGGCGGTCAAGACCATTTGGCTTCACTTTTTGTGAGCTGTCATGTCGTCCATCTTTATTTACTGAGTGTGTGTGTGTGTGTGTGTGTGTAGGTGTCCTGGGTGTCCCTGCAGAAGAGAGGAGACTTCGGTGTCCTCAGTGCCGGTTCAGGAGGACGAGTGCTGCTGTGGACGTTGGACTCTGACCAGGGACGGTTTGTCCTGGACGCCGCCTTCGCCTTCGTGCGTCAGCAGGTCCCTCACGGAGTCAAGGTGAGAGAGGGACCGGAGCCCAGAGGAACTCCAGCAGTTCAGAATAAAAGCCCAGCGATGGTAACAGACCACTGTTTTCAAAATAAAAGCTCCCACCGACAGAATGGCTGTTTCTCTGTCAGACTCGGGGCAGCAGCACTGTGGGCGTCACCTCCCTGGCTCTCTCTCCCTGGGACTCCGACACCTTCCTGGTCGGCTCCGAGGGCGGCCTCCTGCTCCGCTGCTCCTTCTCCTCCACGACGCCAGCCGCCGTCTCCTCCGAGGGTCAGAGCGTGACCCCGAGGGCCCCGGCCGTCTTCTCCTTCCGGCCCTGCAGCGGCCCCGTCCACTCCATACACTGCTCCCCTTTTCACAGGTGACAGCGCCACATACAGACCACGCGCAGAAGTGATCAGAGATTATGTTGCAGCTGAGTCGTGGTGACTTCCTGTGTCGTGTTCTCTGCAGGAACTTGTTTGTGAGCGCGGGGACGGACGGTCTGGCCCACGTCCACTCGCTGCTGCAGGTCAACCCGCTCCTCTCGCTCAGGGTCTCCGACTCCTACGTGTTTCAGGTGCAGTGGTCTCCGACCAGACCGCTGGTGTTCGCCGCAGCCACAGGACAAGGTGCAGCATCAAACCTGTGTGTGTGTGTGTGTGTGTGTGTGTGTGTGTGTGTGTGTGTGTGTGTGATTTAATTTAACTCACTAAAATTCAGACTGTTTAAAACCTGTGATGAGAGTTAAGATAAAGGAAGTTACTTCATCATAATGAAGATAAAGAATGATGATCTGGTTCCATTCATTAATACAAACCTGCACGTTTGAGTTTTATGAAAACGTTCAACTCTAAGACCTTTAAACACCTAACTTTGAGATGAACTCGTAGATTTCTTACGACCTCAGACCGCTGTCACTCAGACCGCTGTCACTCAGACGTCCTCTCCTCTGTCTCAGGTAAAGTGCAGATATTTGACCTGGGCCGCAGATCTCTCAGACCAGCGGCCACCATCGAGCAGGGAGGAGCCGGACACGCTGCTACGAGTCTGGCCTTCAACGCTCAGAACCCTCACCTGATGGCCGTGGGAAACACGGACGGAACGGTCGGCGTTTGGCAGCTGAGCGCCGACCTGTCGGAGCAGAGCCCGAGAGAGAGCAGCCAGCTGGAGCAGATCGCCAACCAGGTGGCTGAGTAACGTCCGGACAGTTTCCTGCTCCTGTGATGGTGTCGAGTGTGGAAGTGAAATAAAAAGCAGCAGTTTCCAGTTGTAACCAGTAGCGTTTATTAAAGCACACTGCAGTGGTCAGGTTGTTGTTATATTATTCTTACGATTAGGTTCTTAAATTCATTGAGAGCTAAAACAGCTAAAACAATCACATTCAAATGCAGACAGTCACTATGCTATCATGAGAAGCACAACGTTAGAGCGAGATAAATACAGACGGTTGTTATCAGTGAGGATTCCTCGTGCCACAATCATGCAGTTTCAGCTGTGTTCGTGTTGAAGCGTGTGTGTGTTTGGGAAAACGCGTCCCGATTGGTCACTGGCGGGTGAGGGATCAGTTGACGAAGAGCGAGCGGGTGAATTCCACAAAGTCGAAAGCTGACGGCAGCTCGCGGCCCTTGCTGTCGAGGTAGGGCTTCATGTGTGAGAGGCAGTAGTCGGCCTGCTCCTTGCTCAGGTTCTGGAGGAGGAAGAGGAGGAAGAGGAGGAAGTTAGAGCGCTGAGCTGTGACACTGACAGAAGATCCAGAGATGGAGCAGCGAGCTCCACTCACCTGATACAACTCTTCTTTAGTGACGTAGGGTTTGTTCTCGGTGCTCAGAGCTCGGAACGCGCTCTCGATCTCCTCACTGGACTTCACATTCTCTGTCTCGCGGCTGATCATGAACGCCATGTACTCCTGCAACGACACGTTCCCGTCCCTGTGCACACACACACACACACACACACACAACACATACTTTAGTCTGGAAAGTGTCGGTGCAGTAGTTTGTTACACGTTCAGGCTGATTACACGTTATCATCAGCCAGACTTTTATGGATTGTCATCCAGGTGAAAATATAAACAACACTTTGTTGTTATCAAACTCTTACGATGAACATATGAAACTGAAGTTTGATATTTAACAGTTTAACCATAAACACGAATAAAACCAAATATCTAAAACGTGAATGAAGAAAAAATACAGATTTTAATGCAAAATATGAACAAATGTCCGTATTTTCATCTGTTTATTCAGTTTCATTATAAACACAGATTCTGACGCAGCGACTCTACACTGTGGGTAGAGGAGTCTGACGACACGTTAAAGATAATTAACGCTCTGCGGGTGCGTTTGTTTGAGTGTGTTTGCTGGAGTCAGACCTGTTTGGATCCACGGTGTCGAGTATGGCCTCGAACTCAGGATCAGGCTCTCCCTCTTCCACCATGGGCAGGTCGTAGCCCAGCGAGCGCAGACACGACTTGAACTCCTGGTGGTTCAGACGACCGGACTTCTCTTTGTCGAAGTGCCTGTGAAGAGACGTGAGACCGTGAGGATTCAGTCAGACACAGAAACACGTCAGGACGGCGGCAGGTCAGCGCCACGTACTTGAACATCATGCTGAACTCCTTCAGAGCCTCCTCGGTCACTCCTGTGGTGTTTCTGAAAGACAGAGGGACGGACGTGAGCTTTATGTAAACGTGTGTCTCCGGCGATCAGTGACCGTGTTGTTGGCGTGTACCTGGCCTGTATCTGCTGCTCCAGGTTGTGTTGCATCCTCATTCCCAGTTGGTCCAGTTGGTCCCACTGCTGAGCCAGACCCACTGTGCTGTGCTCCGTGTACTTGTTGTCCAAGATCAGCGCTTCCTCCATCGCTGCACCCAAATCCTCGATCTTCTTTAGCTGACTGCGCATCGCCCGGATCTCCTGATGTTTGCGCTACACGAACATCAACACAACCCTTCAGCTCTAGCTTCAGCTCAAACATCCGGCAGCAGCGTTACGTTACTCATGATTTTTTACCTTGGTGGCCTCCAGCTGCGACTCCAGCGTTCCAGACTCTTCCACCATACACGACCTGACGTCAACACAAACTGATGTGAGAGCAGAAGCAGCACATCTGGAAAACGACTGCACTCACTCTGACGCACACTGTTAGGAAGACAAACCTCTACGACAGAGGTCGGCTGCTGAGCACGAACACTTTGTGTCAGAGTGAAGTGTGAAAACTTTGAGTTCATCCTTCCTGGTTTCATGGATCGAGTTAATCTATCTTCGGTGCAGTGAAGCCAACACTTCGAATCTATTCATTGTTTGAAGTTTATTCTTTTATATTTTTGAACTTATCTGACTTGTTATTTATTTATTTAGTCGTCTGTAACTCCTCCTTCACTGCTACACAGTGAAATGATTCTGTTTCTCATCAAATAAAAGTGGATTCGCTTCATTGAAGTTCAGGTCAGAGGCTTCGTGTTGAACTGACGAACTGTGATTAAACGTTCTTTGTTGTGATAAATTCACATCACATGTGAACGTGTTGTGTTGTTTTATCTGCGACTGGAAATAAACCGATGTGACCAAACCATGCGAGGACAGAGCTGCTGCTCACAGGAGGAAACTCCAGCGGCTCATTAGTACGTGATGAACACGAACATGAACACGTGCAGAAAAATAAACCACAACGAGACTAAATCTCTAAAAGCTGCATTAAAACGAAACGTGTGATTTTGGGCCTGTCCCGATTCCGCTCCCTCGGCCCTACCACTAGATGTGAAGTGACCCTCGGAGGGGCGTGTCCCCTCCAGACAGAGCCACATGAGGTCGAGATAGAAAATCAAACACTTCAACATCATCAGGGAGGTGGAGGAGCGAAGGGGACAGGCCCTTAGTGCAGTTTCCCTCCTGAAGGAGAAACCAGGGGAACCCAGTGAGTTCACTCTGAGGTGTGTGTTAGTGAACACACTGAACTCAACACTGTGTTTAGATGGAGGTGCACGAGGTCGCAGCTCTCACACAGCGTGGGTCAGGGAAAGCAAACGAACACAGAGCAAAGCTTGAACCTTCCAGAAAGATCATCAGCTACTTGGTACTGATAGACACAGATAACCCGTCGATACGCTATGCTATCAGAGAGAGGGGGGGAGGAGGGGGGAGGGAGGAGGGAGGAGGGAGGGCCAGAGAGGACAACAGATAATGTATCACACACAGGAGAAGGAGGAACATGTGGTTTTTAACGACATCCACACACACACACACACTCAGAACTGTGAACAAGAGGAAGTGATACTAACCCGTCCAGCAGATACGTCCTGTTGAGCAGCGTTATCCCGAACACCAGCAGAGCAGAGGAGAGGGAGGGAGGGAGTGAGAGAGAGAGTGAGAGAGAGAGAATACACATTAT